GAGCAAGGGACTTCTGGGAGGAGGAGGATAGTGTCTTTCAGCAACCAACCAGGCTCTTGCTCTTTTAGCCTTGACCGTGACTAGGTCTTTCTGACCTTGACATCACTGGGAGCACAGGGAAGGGGGAGGGTAGAAAAGGCCTTGATCTTCCGGTGACCGGTGAAAGGGAGGGCAGCTTGCCCCCTTGACGCGCCATCCCCCTTCACGCCGGAGTCCGCCGCCGCCTCTGTTTACACACAGAAGAGGTGTCGTCTTCAGTCTAGACAGGGGCGCTAATAACGCCCATAAAAGGCTGCCGCTCCAGAGATGTTCTGTAACACAGCTCCAGTGCGCCTGCCGCTGGCCGCTCCCTCAACCTCCCCCACTCCGCCCTCATCTGATACCTCCGCTGGGCCTGAGGGAGGTCTTGAGGTGGGGGAAACCAAATGGGGTTTCTGAGTCTGAGAATCCCCTCCCCACACCCTCTGTACCTCCTCCATCCAAAGGTAAGTGGATGGGTTTGTGAAGCAGTTGGATAGCTGGGCTGAGCAGATCTCATGGTCACGGTCAGAGGGCCAGGCAGAGGGGCGAGGACAGTTCTCACACTCCCTACTCAGCTTCGAGGCCTGCGAAGACCAGGTTCAGGGCTCCCAGATACTTAGCATGTGGCTGTGGGTGTGGCATTTAAGGAGGTTGGGTAGTTTTTTTGCGTTTTGGTTTTTTTTTAACTTGGTCCCCACACCTTTCCAAACACTCAGTAATTCACTAGGCGGAGGAGATCCTCTGCTGGCGGAGGGGGGAAATGTCAGAGCCGAACTATTTAACTGTTAGCTCGCCAAAAGGAGAGAGAAGACGGGCAAGAGGGCCCATTTGGAGACCATCAGGTGTGGATGGAGAAATAGTCTTCCAAGTGACCCCGTCTGGGAGCCCCTAGCCTCATAATTTTCTGAGTTCCACTCCATCCGCGGTATCGTGGTGGGCGAGTGCCCAGAGAAACGCAGGCGAATTGAAAGAGGTAAGGGCGCTGCTGGCCACAGGCTGCTTGCCTGAACCCCAGCAATTGTCCAAGCCCTCCCTCCGTCAAGCTGTAGAAGTTTTGGAAAGCAGTATTTTGGGGGGAGGAATTCCCCAATCTTCTCCTTAAGTTCTGGGGAACATTAGGGAGGGTTGGGAGCCTGGTCGGGGGGTTCTGACCCAGAACCTGTGAAACGATTAAAAAGGAGTCTGAGCCCTCCACCCCACTCTCCAGTGTGTTCAGAACTCGAGAAAGATCCCTTCCCAAGCCTGAGTTGCCCCAAAGGAGTGAAAAAGAGAGGGGTCGGATACAGGCCCAGATCCAGTCGCAGCTTTTTATTTTCCCTTCCCGCCACTGGCCCAGCCCCAGTTCGCGTTCCTTCTGCGGTACTTGGTCTCCCTCATTTGCATACGTGGCACAACTGCTTTCTGGAAATTAGACAGTGACTTTGAACTAGGCTGCCGTGGCCTCCCCATCACCCAGGAAAAATCCAGCACCATGCAAAATAATTCTGACCTTGGGTTGGCCAAGTAGTCAACCTCTGTTGTTTACAGCTACTCCGCAGTGACCCAATCCTTCCACAGCCCCTTTGCTCCTGCCGCCTTCCGCTAGGCGCAGCTGCGGCACTGACACGCGGTCCAGTGCAAAGGCCTGGAGGATGAGGGATAGATAGAAACACAGACATAGGCGCAGGAGAGGCAGCGCGGCATCTAGCTGGTGGGTACACTGAAGGGCGCGGACTGCCGCAGGTCCTAAAGGAAAGCCTTGGACCACATCTTTGCCTTCAGTTTTAATTAACCCCGGAGTAACGAGCGGGGCATGGTTGAGCTGGGCCAGCTGCAGCGGGCACCTGTGGTCCAGGACCGGCAGGCGGGTGACCCCTTCTAGCCTTGAGATTTGATGAATGTGCAGGACAGTGTGCATGTAGGCATCGCGATGGCTCCGTGATTCCCTAGTCTCCCCAGTTAATGGTAGTTTTGCTTATGGGCACCGAAGTGCATGGCGGATTCCTTCCTGGCTAGAGGAGGCTGGGAGTTCCTCTCAGTCTTTTCACCCGGTTCCAGTCTGCACCCAGCGAGCAGCTCTCTCACCAAGACTGGGTTTAGACTGGTAGCTTCGCGCCCGAGTCTCCCGCCGGCCCCGGGGACCCAGGCTGGGAGCCTTCTCTGGGGCCTATCTGTCCACTCAGGGTTAAGAACGCGGAGCTGAGCGGCGTGTGCAGCGGGATACCACCAAAGCAGTCAGAGCCGCCGTGAGGCACATAAAGACTGAATTCTTAGATTGTCCGGGTCCTCGCCAGGATCCTGGAAGCCCCTAAACTCACAATGGAATCAGAACCTGGGACGTGCAGATTTAGTTGACAGTTCTCAGCTGCTTTCCCTAAAAGCAATCTCTCTACACGGAGAGATTGGGAGAAATGACCGCTTCTGATGCTGCTTACTGGACTCGGGAAAATGTACCTCTGGGAGAAAGAAGCCCTTACCCCATCCTCCTCTCCCCGAGTTGCATCTGCCGCCCTGTGGTCGCTGCTCTGCGTGCTCAGCAGCCTGAAGGACAGCGAGCAGAGCTCTGGGCCTGAGACCGGAGAGTTGGAAAGGGATGGAAAGAAACTAATACCCTCCTCTTGGCGTCTCCCTTCTGGGTTATTGAAGTCGCCTTGTTAGAGAAAAGGGAGTGGGGAGAAATCTCTCACCCCACCCTATTGCAAGGGCTGAAGATGATTCCACAATGCCTGCCTCCACATCCTTCGTGTCAACAGTAGCGGCTGAGCCTGACGCCTAAAGAGCCGGGGCAGAGACCTCGCTGCTGGTCACAGAGTTTGGATTGAAAATAGCAATAATATGAAATGTCACATTCTATTCATCTTTATGACTAAAATAATCCCCAAACAATTAAAAAAAAAAAAAAACTAAATTATCAGTGGAGTTCATTAGTACATCTTGAAAGGGGGGAATAAATAAGATGCTGGAAATACTGTGATAAGGAATTTGCTGAAGAGGGATGCTTTTTTCCGCAGCCGCGCACATGCTGCCCCTTAATCAATTAGGCACCAAAAAGCCAATCTCGGCCGAGTCTCCTGCTAGCTCTATGGCTACTCCAGCTCTCGCGACTCTCTCTGATCGAAAGTGTCTTCATGAGGCTAGCATCCCATCCTTTAGCTCTGACATGGGGATCAGGCTTGGGGAGGACTCCTGGAGGGTGGGAAGGGCCTGGGGAACCAGGGTGGGGAAGAGGAACCGGCCTAGCTGGACGAGGGGCTGGCGCCTTGCTGTGAGCTGCTTCTCCGCCGCAGGGCCTGGGCGGCGCCGCCCGCGGGCACACATTTCTGTTGGAGTAAAAGCTATGATTTGCTATATGAAAACGCCTCGAGAGCGGTGGAATTCGAAGAATCTGCGTTCTTCTGTGTTGCGTCCTGCAGAGGAAAGAGAGAGGAGGGGAGAGAGAAAAAGGAGATGAGAATCTTCTCTGTTTGGGTCTGTTTTTGTAGCTTCTGCTTATTCTCAGATATTTAACGTTCACCTACATTGATTTCTTTCTCGTATTCTCTTGTTCTTTCTCATTTCCTCTAAATCGTCTGGGTGATTTCTCATATGTAGCCGTTCTCTGAATTGCTTCTCTAACCTTATTTATATTCATTAAAGCTGTGCATTGGGGAGAAGCTAGAAATTATCACATTAAAATCTGAGGATTTTGTCTACTAGACCCCAAAGTACCTAGTTGGGGAGGTTTTGTTTTAGTTTTCATTTTAATCCGTTTGTCTGCATTTGTAGGTCTAGTTAAAATCAGATTGTAGTTTCAAAGATGTAGATTAATCTGGCCAATGGCTGGTGTTGAGTTCTCAATCTTCTCTAAAAGGATATAACATTAGTTTCTATAATATTAAACCCCCAACAAGACAATTCTCCTGGGATTCTTTCCTTCACTTCCAGCCCACCTCAAGAGACAGTTGCTACCTTGTGGTCCCAATCAGTGTCAGGCTGGGCAGGTCCTGAGATGTAGTGTCTCCTCCGCAGTGGGAAACAGGAACCTCTTCCACTGGTCAAGCCCTGCTGGGGTGCCTGAGCCTCCTGCTGCCAAGACTTGGGACCCCCAGCACCCCTCAGTGGACCAGAAGTCTCAGCAGAAGAATAGACTGAGTTCCCAGGTTCCCAGGACCAGGGATGCAGATCTGCTTGAGCTGGTCACTTCCTTTTTCTATATCTTCTGCCCCTCATCCAGACCCCTTCTCTAATAGCAAGGTGACTGAAAGTATCAAGCTGAGGTGACTCTTGATCTGAGGAAAGGCCCACCATTATAAATTATCCCTGAGCCCTTCCAGAGGGAAAGAACCCCAAATGTCTTCCCAAATTCCTGAAGAGAAAGAGTTGGCACAGACTAGTTCAGCAGTAGCAGAACTGGGAAAGACAGCCTAGGGAAACCTGTCCTCACCCCCTCTTCGCCTCTACTGTAAATAAACCCCGAGCCAAAGGGCTCATCCGTCTCCTTAAACAGCCAGTAAACTTTATATGACACAATATCTAACAGTAATTTATTGGGGAGATATTGTAAATTCCAACGGTTTTAGTTAATAAAGGAGCTAATTAAAGAGGGAGAGCTGTGCTTGGCCAGCTGTTGGCCACAAGATAATACAACTGGGGGAGGGGAGAGAAGTGTAGGGTGTAGGGGTCTGTATGTGCAGAAATTTTTGGTATGGTTTCTCTCCTCTTCTCTTGCCCCTTGTTAGGCAATTGCCTCGTTCTCTGCCATAGGTTTTATATGATTAAAAAAAAAAAAAAACAGAATCCAGCGAATAAACTTGCCCCCTCCTTTGGTCCTCCTCCCCACGCGGGATTGGGAAAGGGGGAAATTGGTGTGGGTTGGTGGGTGGGGGATCCGATGTCCCCACTCCTCCCCCTGGCTGTAGCGCCCACGTGAGCTGGGCGGCCAATGGGTGGCCGGTGCAGGTTTAACTATGTTTAATGTCAGATAGCAATAAAGTAGAAGCTGCCGGTCGGGCCCCGCGGAAATGGGCGAGCATAATCTCTTGAATCCCGGGTTTGTGGGGCCGCTGGTGAACATCCATACCGGAGACACCTTCTACTTCCCTAACTTCCGTGCATCCGGGGCTCAGCTACCCGGGCTGCCTTCGCTGTCCTACCCGCGCCGAGACAACGTGTGCTCACTGCCTTGGCCGTCGGCGGAGCCGTGCAATGGCTACCCGCAGCCCTATCTCGGCAGCCCCGTGTCGCTCAACCCGCCCTTCGGCCGCACGTGTGAGCTGGCGCGAGTGGAGGACAGCAAGGCTTACTACCGTGAGCCCTGTGCCGAGGGTGGCGGCGGGGGCCTGAAGCGGGAGGAGCGCGGGCGCGACCCGGGACCGGGACCGGGGCCAGGGGCAGCACTGCTGCCGCTCGAGCCGTCGGGGCCGCCAGCTCTCAGCTTCAAGTACGACTATGCAGCGGGTGGCGGAGGCGGCGACGGCGGCGCAGGACCCCCGCACGACCCTCCCTCGTGTCAGTCGCTAGAATCTGACTCCAGTTCGTCCTTACTCAACGAGGGCAGCAAGGGCGCCGGTGCTGGCGACCCTGGCAGTTTGGTGTCGCCGTTGAATCCTGGTGGCGGGCTTTCAGCCAGCGGTAAGGATCTTAGCCCTTGACGCTCACTCAGGACAGGTCATCTTACCAAGATGGGCAATGGGAGACTGAACTAGGGCCGCCTGGGGTGACAAGAGTGTGGAGGTGGGCAGTCCTATACACGTAGATATCCCCATAAAAAAAACTGGGGAGAGATTCCCTTTTTTGCTTTACTAGAGGGTGCTGGAGAGTATAGGAAGCTCAGAAGGAGGATCCTGTCGGGGACTTCCTCGGGGCCCTGTCCTCTCGCTCTCTGTCTCCTTCTTCTCCCACTACCTCCCATGGCTCCCATTATCTACATTTTTTCTACTAAGACATGCTAGTGGACCCAGTTTACTCTTTGCCACTTGCCTATATACATTTTACATATTACAGCTAGGCTCAGGCACACAGCTCTACGGGATGTAAAAAGAAGGGGCCAGAAAATAGGGGAGCAGAGTAAAGGTTTGAGGTTAGCAACATTAGAAGAGCCAGAAACACTGTTGCAGGAGAGTAGGGTTGAAGAGGTACTCTGGAGAGGTTAAAGGGAAAACAAAGATTGATGAAGATGAGGGAGCTGGTGGAGAAGAGGATCTGCATAGACTAGGTTACAGAATGCCTGGCAGAGGGACATAGAAGATAGGCCTAGTGTAGAAACTTTGAGGTCACAGGGCTTATCACCCTTTGGTCCACTGGTCAACTGTACGATTCATCTCCACTCAGGTGCACCCTGGTACCCGATCCACAGCCGCTCACGGAAGAAGCGAAAGCCCTATTCGAAGTTGCAGCTTGCAGAGCTGGAGGGCGAGTTTCTGGTAAATGAGTTCATCACACGCCAGCGCCGAAGGGAACTATCGGACCGCTTGAACCTTAGTGATCAGCAGGTCAAGATCTGGTTTCAGAACCGGAGAATGAAAAAGAAAAGATTACTGTTGAGGGAGCAAGCCCTCTCCTTCTTTTAGGGATGACGGAAGTACTGGCATCAGCCCCAGACTGAGCTTAGCCCTGGCAAAGAGCAAGAGGGGCGCCTCCTGGGACACCGACCCCACTTAGAACGCCAGGCGTTTCTGTTTCTGGCAGGCCCTCCCTGGACATCTTCTTGTCTGTTTTGTTTGTGGCTCCCTCTCACACACACCCTGCAAGCCCTACCAGGTCCCAGAGAGAAGGGAAGAAACACAGCCATAAAAAGAGGAAGCCCCCAGCTGCAGAAGGTGGCAGGGGCAGCAATGCTGGTTTATTTGAAGCAGGACTTGGGATGCTTGCCTCCAGCTGAGGATCTGATAAGCTGTGGCCCAGACTCCCTTTCCCACTACTTCCATTCCCTAGTCTCAAGTCTCTGCCTGCAGGAGGAGATGAGGCAGGGACAGCAGAACCAAGGGCCTCCCTAATACCTAGTTGCCAGAGTAGTTGACATGGGGAAAGAAAGAGAGGGTGAAGAATAAGTAGAGTAGAGGTGGTCTAGGGTAGCTCAGAGAAGACAAGAAGAAGTTGGGAGCCAAAGAGGAAGTGAGATCTAGGAAAACAGAAGGATCAGCAAGGCCCAACTCAGCTGTGGCTGGCTACTGGACACTGTATGGTCGTGGTTGGAGGCGAGGGCATTTGGCAGACTACGCTTGGAACAAGCGGACCATCAGCCTTATGTTCCTTCTTGGGCAGAATGTCCGAATGGTTTCCTGGTCCCAGGCCTTTTCTGAGCTCCTTGCACACCCGAAACGAACACCCTCACACAGATGTGCTGCCATCCACTCTTCTCACAGCCTAGACAGCTGTGCACCGGAAGCAGTCAACGGAAAATTGAGATCAGAGCGGACACAGGCTCCATCCAGTTCAGTAGCCACAACAGGGACTCCCACCTGGCCCTCCGGTAAGCCTAAGAGGCTGTGGAAGGGGCTGCAGAGCGCCGAATTGATAAGCCAAGTGAGTTTCTGCCAACTGGGGCGGGTAGCCTAGCCGCTGTTTCCCTTCCCCACTGGCGTTCACGGTCATGGCCGGAGGCTGGACCAACGTAATTTATGAGGCCAGAGGAGAATTTGCCCTTTAAGGGGCTACGGGTGGGTGTTGAGGCCCTGCTCAGCCCCCGTTTCCCAGGCTGGTGACAATGAAGGAGGGGGGCACTGCAGCCCCCACCCACCTCTTTTCTCTCTTTTCCCCATCCTCACTTCACCCGCCCCCCAATGTTGCCCTTTGTCTCAGGTCCGCTGCCTCTGCACCCAGACGGACAGCGAGCCTCCCCCCTCCCCCCACTACAAGGACCAGAGCAAAGGGTAGGGCACACACAGCCCAGTAAATATTGAAAGTCAGAAAATGGCTTCTTGGAGCGTGAAGACCTTTTATCCATAAACCTTTAGGTTCCAGCTCCAGCCCAGTGGATCCTGGGTTGCCTTAGGAAAGCCTAGTAGTGAAGAAGCCTGCAGAGAAAGGATACGTTGCCTCCCTGAACTCCCTTCTTAGCCCCTCTGATCAGAGTTCCCCTTATGTGTCCCATCTGCTGTCTGGTCTTTGCCTGGAGCAAGAGAGTTAAGCCCAGCCTGCACAGTATGAAACTGGACTGCTTGCTGGCTTAGAGATCTTCTGGCCTGGAAGATTCCTGGCAGCCCACTGTCCTCTCAGCACACAGCTTCTAGTCATGCAGAGGCTTAGGCAAAAAAAAAAACAAAAAAAAAACACCTGAGTCCAGCAGAACCCCTGGGCATATCCTACTCTCTCCTGCACTTGCAGACAGGCAGCCCAATGCAGTCCTACGGAGTCACACACCACCAAACCTACTGGGCACCTGACACCCTTCGGCACCCATACACATCACTCCACCCATGTACAAGTTCTCCCTAATCACTACCATTTCAGCTGCCTGTACTGTCCCCTATGGGCTGGCCCTGGGTTTGAGGCAACCCCCTTGCCTGGTCATTCATTGTACCCCTTCTTGTAGCACCCTCCCCCACACCCTGTGGACTCTAGGGTGTTGAATTGTAACTCCACCACCCCAGCCTGACTCCCACAGTCTAATAGAGATGAGAAACCAGACATTCCAAAAGGGGTCAGAGGGCACAAAAATATGCAATATCCTCTTCCTGTCGCTTTAAACATGATTTTTGTGAGCTTCTCTGTCAAACTATATCCTGTTCTATGTGTCTGTCGCTAGTACCTACTGTAGTCCCTGTGGGTAATTATCCTCCCCAGCTCTCTGTAGTGTGCTTACCTATTCAGATGTCTGCTTTAGCACGTTTTCCCTTTATATAGTACTTCTACAGAGTTGCTTCATCATATTAATAATAATAAAACATGAATATATGTCAATGTGATTTTTTTTAGAACAATTTTCAAAATTATTCCCCACACATCATCTCCTCTATAGAGAATGCCAGTCTCCTGGCTGTTTCCCCACTTCATTTTCTCCAGTCCAGGTGAATAATAAAAATAATAAATGTGTAATAATAAAGGAAAAGCACTTACAGGGGCAACAAAAACACCAAAGTCTGTTCAGGAGCTGCTAAGCAACTATTAAGAGAAATACAACTGGGGGGGGGGGGGAGGGCAGCAGACTGGGGGGGAGGGGAAGTTCTGAGCCATGGGGGCTGGGTCATAATAATGTGAATAGCTGGGAGGAGACCAGCTTTGGGCCAGAAAAGGCAGTCAGTGTACTGAGAAGCCCAGGTAGGGGTGTGGGAAGATTGGAGCTTGGGACGCAGGGGCAGCAGTGAGGGCCCTTGGAAGGCTGGGATGGGTATAGGGCTCTTAATCCTGCAGCTTCGATCTGAGAATGTACTTTGTGCACTGCCAGACAACTGGACAGTGGATTAAAGACAGCTTGTTGTTACTGTTGTTAAAGTGCCGTAGAGTCAGTTCTGACTCATAGCGACACTGTATATAGGGTTTCCAAGGAGCAGCTGGTGATTTGAACTGCCGACCGACCTTGTGGTTCGCAGTCCAGTGCTGATTCTGCAGCAGCACATCAGGAGTCCAAAGATCCCTTGTTGTTGTTGTTAAGTGTTGTTGAGTGGATTCTGACCCAGAGCGACCCTGTACAGGGTTTCCTAGGAGCAGCTGGTGAGCTTGAATCACCAATTGTGCAGCTCGGGACTTTGCAGTCCAGTGCATTAACCCACAGCACCACACCAGGACTCCAAAAGATCCCTTAGAGCTGGTAAAATGGACTCCACCTCTCAAAGCCAGCTATCCCCCCTCCACCCCACCCCACCCCCAGACCATGCCAGGGAGAGGCCCAGGTCCAGACCGTTTACCAGGTCTCCAATATGCTCTTGAGCAATGGAATCTCCACACCTCCACCCCTCTCTTCCTTCTCACATGGAACCTTTCCTTCTGCCTCCACTGAGTTTCCTTTTCTTGCTGCCTGGCTCCAGTCACTGAGTCTCCTCCAAATTCCTCTTCTATACCTGCTCAGGAACACCAGAGGCCCCAGTGTCTACCCTCTGAGCCACACCTTCTCTGGAACCTTTATCTCCTTCTCATTTCTTACCCTGCAATTAGAGCAGCTAGTGAATTTGAACCAAACTTCATTCTCATTTAGCCCCAAATTGTCCTTTGCAGTTGAGCAGGGAATGTGGGAAGAAAGGAGTTCGGAAGCCCCACAGTGCAGATGAGATTGGATCTGGGGAAGCTTTAGTCAGGCATGATCTGGGGAAGGAACTTTGTGACTGTGACCAGGTCTGAATAAAAGGGGTGGGGATTTGAGCCCCTATGAATCCAGGCAACAGGCTGTTTCTTGAAGTGTATCCAGGCAGGAAGCAGGAACAAACTGCAGAAAAATTTTAGGGGGCCTGATAGCTGGTCCTTAATTTATTCTGGGAGACCTTCCTGGCCTGACACATCTTGTATGTATCTACTCAGACCCTTGGACTCCATAACTGAGGAAGCTGTGGAGAAGGAAAAACACTAATTTAACCTCCCTCTGGCTGAAAAACAAGTCCTTGGGTCTTATGGCCAGAGAGATCATGGTTGGAGCTGGCCCCAAAATATTCAGGGCAAGGCTGGATACCGGAGGAAGTTACATCTGTTTTGCAGGGGCGGGGGGGGGGGTTTGTTTGATTTAAGACCCCAACTACAACCCAGCTCCTGCTGGATTGCCAATCAAATGGTTGGCAGTTCAAACCCACCAGACCAGCTGCTCCTTGGAAACTCTCCATATATGGTCGCTATGAGTCAGAAGCAACTTGGCGGCACTTAACAACAACAACAAACAATCCAGATACAATTTATTCCTTTAAGACTTTAAGATATAGCACACTATGTGTCGCTGCTAACTAGGTCTAGAAGAATAATGAAAAGGGGAGAAGCATCTAGATGATTTAGGTAGAAAGTAATTCTGCTGTCACGTATAAATTTATATCATCCAAATGAGTTGTTTACTTGGCTATTCTACTCGGTTTTGACCGTGTAGACGAAGCTAGCTTATTTAAAACTACTATCGCGCAGGCAGGAGATGGACCAGGCAGTCTGGGTTCTGAAGATGCTAATGAAGGCGGAAACCCGGCCAGATCAATAGCTCAGACCCAGAGGGGAGCGGAGACACTAGGTCCGGATCTGCAAACAAAGCAAACTCTGGGGACTTTGGGTTCCGGCCAGAGCCCCCACCCACCCTCCACGCCGTGTCCAGGAAAGACAGAGCGGCTTTTAGACCCTTGCGGAGCGGGGAAAAGCACTCCGGAGGCCCCAGCCCTCTCTGCATTCATTCCCGACCCGGGTTCCAGTGGGGTCGAGCGCGGAGATGGTCTGCAGGCTCCGTAAACCAGCCGAGGCTTTGGCCCCCGTGGCCGCCCTCAGGCGTCTGCCTCCAAGGAGACCAAGCTGTCTGTTTTCCGTGGAGTCTCATGCGGCTGCTCAGGCTCTCCCCCCACCCCCACCCCGCCCCCGCCACTGGGCTCCGAGGCCTGAGAGACAAAGGCGGGTCGGCCGCGGAGGGATGACGTGGAGGCCTGGGGCGCCCACAGCCCACGTCTGAGCCCGC